GCGGTCGACTACGTGGGAATCCAGCGACATAGCCATTACGCTAACTGCTGGTTCCCGTGGCTTGCTTTCTCATTGTCTCTCTCTCTGTCCCTCTCTGGTCAAATTTAAATTAATTAATTAATTAATTAAATTATTTAAAAAGGTATTAGGGCGTGGCCATGCACCCTGTGGGGTGCTTTCTCACTCACTGGCAAGCACACATGCGCTATAATAAAACTAAATAAAAAAGAAGGGAAACAAGTGATCTTGGGCCAGCTGGTGACATGGTGGTTGAGGAGGCTAGATCCCACGTGGCAAATAGCATCGTTAATATCCCAGACTCGATAGCTTGAAACCTACCAGGCACATGTGCACATGCATCCATGCCCAAAACCCTTAGAGGAGAATGGAGGAGAAGGGATTGCAGCCTGGTCATCCTCCCTGGGGAATGCATTCTCATTTTCCCTCTCTCTCTCTTCCTGTTTCTCTCTTGCAAGCACATGCACCCTGCAGTAATTTTTTTAAAAAAGAGAAAAAAACAATGGGACCAGCTGATAGCGCAGCGGTTACATCACTGGATTCCTACATGGCCGACCATGGCTCAGTCCTGAACGGTAGCTTCAAAATCACACAAGGAGCATGTGCATATGTGCCCAAGATCCCAGGAGGAAAATGGAGAACAAGGGATTGCAGTGTGGCCATCTCCCCGGGGGATGATTTCTCTCTTTCCTCTCACTATGTCTGTCTCTCTGTCTCTCTCTCTCTTTTGTCCTAGGACAAAAACCTCTTTTTTAAAAAAAATATTTATTTATTTTTATTTGTTGTCATCATCTTTCTTTCTCTTTCTTCTTTCTTTTTCTTTCTTTCTTTCTCTTCCTTTCTTTCCTTCTCTCTTTCTTGTTCTTTCTTTCTTTCTCTTTCTTAAATTTGACCACAGAGGGACGGAGAAAGAGAGAGAGAAAGGGAAAGTGAGAAAGCAAGCCACCAGGTCCAGGACATGAACCTCAGTCGGCCATGTGGGAGTCCAGTACCTTAACCACCATACCACCTGCTGTCCCCAAGACCAAGGTGAAAAAAAAAAAAAAAGAGAGAGAGAGAGAGAGAGAGAGCAGGAAATGAGCTGTGTCCAGGCAGGATAGCACTGAGGGAGGGCGCATTTCAAAGCATACTTACACAAGCCGAGTGCATTTATGCCCCCGCTCAGCAGGTTAGCAGTCTGGTGGGAGGAATAGCAGGCGAGTCCCATTATCTTGAGAGCTTGCTCAAGTCATTTCTCCACGCCTTAGTCTTCTTTTCTGTGAAAGGGGGAAATGATGATACTCCTCCTGGCAGCCTCAGTGGCTGCTTTAGGAATCAAAGAAAACTCTGCAAATATGGGAGCCACTCCACAAAGATCCTCTGTGCCTGGGAGGCCCTCGCTGGTACCAGAATGGCCGTTCACCTTCTTTAGCTCCTGAGAGAACCTACACATGTTTGGATTTATACACGTTGAACCCTTCTGGGAGTATTTACATTTTAGAGAAGAAGTAAAGATGAAAAATCTCTTTTTTTTTTTTTTTTTAGAGGATTTTGCTATAGGGTGCGTGTGCTCGTCAGACAGAGACAGAAAGCGAAAAATCCCCCCCAGGGGGGATGGCCACGCCGCAATCCCTTCTCCTCCATTCTCCTCTCGGGATCTTGGGCACGCACGCAGACGCGCCCGGTGTGAGTTTTAAACCGCCGGTCCGGGACGCGAACCGCGGTCAACTACGTGGGAGTCCAGCGACATAGCCATTATGCCAACTGCTGGTCTCGAGATGAAAAATCTTAAGAAAGACTATCTATTGGTGGAGTTCATGTCCTTTGACTTATACTTTTTATTGTTGTTAATGAAGTTTAAATTTTGGGGGGCCAGTAGGTGGTGTAGTGGTTAAGGCATTGGACTCCCATATGGCTGAAAGAAGTTTGAGTCCCAAACCTGGCTGCTTGCTTTCTCTCTTTCTCTCTCTCTCCCTCTCTCTCTCTTTTAATTTTTAAAGAGATTGGGCCAGCAGTTGGCGTGGTGGTTAAGGCGCTGGACACTCCCACATGGATGCCCACGGTTTGAGTCCCAGACCTGGTAGCTTGCTTTCTCACTTTCTCTCTCTCTCTCTCTCTCATCAGATAAAAATAAATAAATGAATAAATAAAATTAAATAATAAATAAATCTAAAAAGAGAGAGAGAAAGAGAGAGAGAGAGAGATTTTTGCTATTGGGCACATGCATTCTCCAGAGAGATAGAAAGCAAGAAATCAGCCCCCCAGGGGTGATGGCCACACCACAACCCCTTCTCCTCCATTCTCCTCTTAGGACTTTGGCCATGAACACAACCCCCCTCCCCACCAAGTGAGTTTTAAGCAATCAGGCCCAAAACTTGAACCATGGTAATTACGTGGGAGTCCAGCAATGTAACCATTACACCATCTGTTGGTCCCGTCTGGTTGCTTTTTCCCTCTCCCTCTCTCTCTGGTGAATGCATGGGCCCTAGAGCAAATTTTAAAATCATCATAAGTCATGCCAAATAATAATAATGCTTACATTTTTCATTTGCACCTTTTTTTTGTTTTTAATTTTTAGTTTGCTATAGGGTACATACACTCACTAGAGAGAGACAGAGACAGAGGGAAAGTGAGAAAGCACCCGGCAGGGAGATGGCCACACTGCAGTGCCGTCTCCACTATCCTCCTCTTTGGGTTTCTGGTATGCACACATATGGCCAGTGTGATTTCCAAGTTGCAGTCAGCCAGGTGAGACCCAGCTGCTCTGGCCACCACACCACTGGCTGGCCCTGTTTTGAGCTTCTAATTCCATTTTTTCATGAAGCATTTTTCTCTATTGCCAGAAGGCATATATGTTTGCCAGAGAAGGGCAAAGAAAGTATCCCCCAGGAGGTGTGGTCACATTGCAATCTTTTTTTTATTTATTTTTTTTTGAGAGGTTTTCGCTAGAGGGCACATACGCTCACTAGACAGACAGAGAGACAGAGAGATAGAAAGTGAGAAATCACCCCCCCCCAGGGGGGATGTCCACGCTGCAATCCTTTCTCCTCCATTCTCCTTTTGGGATCTTGGGCATGCACGCACACGCGCCTGGTGTGAGTTTAAGCCACCGGGTCCGGGACTTGAACCACAGTCAGCTACATGGGAGTCCAGCGACATAGCCATTACGTTAACTGCTGGTCCCAACATTGCAATCTTTTCCTCCGTTTCTCCATCCCATCAGGATTTTGGGGCATGTACACATACATATTCAATGTGCTTTTCTTTCTCTCCTTTTTTTTTTTTCCCATAGGAAATGTGTGCTTGCTGGAGAGAGACAGAGAGAGAAAGTAAGAAATCACCCCCTAGGGACCAGCAGGGGGTACGGTGGTTAAGGTGCTGGACCCTCCCACATGGCCAACCATGGTTCGAGTCCTGGACCTGGTGGCTTGCTTTCTCACTTTCCTTCTCTTTCTCTCTCTCTCTCTCTCTGGTCAAATTAAAATAAATGAATGAATAAATAAAATTAAATACAAAATTTTAAAAAAAAGAAATCACCCCTCCAGGGAGATGGTCATGCAGCAATCCCTTCTCTTCCAGTCTCCTCTCAGGATTTTGGACAGGCACACACATGCATGCAACATGATTTTCAAGTCCAGGATTCAAACCACGGTTGGCCATGTGGGAATCCAGCACGTTATCGTCACGCCACCTGTTGGCCCAGGAGCAGGCTCTCTTAACCACTAGGCCATGGAGCCCACCCAAAAGTGTAATACGGCAGTCTTCTGTACACATTCACTGTCTTGCTGTGGGTGGGCCTGCCCGTCCCTGCCACAGGCTCCCTGAAGCTGACCTACCTGTTGGCAAATGCTCTGGAGACCCCCTTGCAGCCCGTGGTTTCAGGTGGGAGGCCCACACACATTCACACTGCTTACTGTATAAATATAGGTTTTATTAATAATGGGTGAAACCCCACAAATACAACCGGCATCTCTGTGTGATGGACAGAATCTGGCAGGGTAAGGGAGGGTAGAGAGGTGTGTGTACAAGAATAAGGAGAAAAAGAGCCCTGGGGGAAGGGAAATCAGTAGAATGAGCCGGGACCAGCAGATGGCACAATGGCTACATCGCTGGACTCCCTTGTAGTTGCCCATAGTTCAAGTCCCATACATGGAGGCTTCAAACTCACGACAGCTGCATGTGCTTGCATTCCCAAAATCCCAAGAGGAGAATGGAAGAGAAGGGCTTGTGGCATGGCCAACCCCCTGGGAGGTGATTTCTCACTTTCAGTCTCTCTCTCTCTCTCTCTGTCTCTGTCTCTCTGGCGAGCGCACACACCCTATAGCAAAAAATCTCTTTCAAAAATAAAAAAAAAAACATAAGAAGAAGTAGAATGAGCCTGGACCCACCAGGAAAGCCAGACATGTTCTACATGTGTCTGCCACCCTAGTGCCCTGGGGCCACCTGCTGATGGGAAGGGGTGGAGAGATGCGGACAGGAGTTTCAGCAGCAAGCGGCTGAGGAAGGGGTACGGAAAAGAGAATGATGCCAGCCTGGAGCACAACAAGAGGGCCGGGGGTGGCGATGGCCAAGGCCACCCTGTACCCGTGCTTGTGCTTGTTTTGGGTCCTGAATTCCAGGGAGCTAGTGCCCTGTGCCACCCCTGGCTGGGGAGAGAGGGAACATTGAGGGTAGACACCTGCAGGTCCTGGAGACACCCTGGGCAGCGCCAGCCTCACCCTTCAAGTCTTTAAAGTGGGATCCCAAGAGGAGGCTGGCGCTGCCCACCCCGCAGTATGCACCCCCACCACCCCATCACTCCCCCTGTGGGCCATAGGGTGGCGAGTGTGGGGCAGAGATTGCCTGTTCACACGTGTGAGCCTATAGCGCTGGGGGTGGGGGTGGGGGGTTGCAGACCGTGCATCAGGAGCAGCGAGAGGGGAGGGCTGGGTCACCCCTTGCTCAGCCCCAGAATAAAGTGCATTCTCCAGGTCCAGTGGCAGGTGGGAGAGGAACACAGACATTATTGCAGAAGTACCACCAGGCCCACTCTCCCCAGCAGTAATGCAGAGAGAGGACTGGGCCTCCCATGGGCCCAGACCTCTCCAATCCCCAGGACAGAAAGCCCAGCTTCTGTCCACACCAGCCAGGCTCTGGGGAAAATATGAGGAGAAGGAAGAGACTTCCAGAGTCCTTCCCTGACCTAGTCCAATGTCGTAATGGGACTTCCAGGGGACCCCACCAGGGCCCAGCCCTGGGACTCCAACCTCATAGCAGCCCAGTTTGCAAACACTTGTGTGGTGGGGACCCCCAGAGGGGGCCACTTTGGTCAATTGTAAGTGGGGGCCTGGTGAGCCCAAGGCTCCCCAACAGACAACAGAGGGGAGTGCCGCGGACAGGAAGGAGGTGCAGCCTCCCGGTGGTCTTCGCATGCAGGTGTTGGAGAGATTAGGGAGGAAGCTACAAACCGCATCAACCTGGGAAGACTTCTGGGCCTGGTGGAGAGGGCTGGAGCCCCTGTTCCCAGGGCCGAGGCTGGGGGGCCAGTCCAATCTGCCAGCCGGCCCATGGAGGAGCTGAGGGAGGGGAGGGTGACTACACCAGCAACTGATGCCCAAGTCTACAAGGTTAAAACAGTCCCAAAGGGCTGGGGCTGGGGGTTTCCTGCTGCGGGGGCTAGGGCGCAGGCCAGGGCAAGGCTCTATCTCTCTGACTTGACCCGGTAGCGGAGTACAAGGTATGCCAGCAGCCGCAGAGCCAGGAAGAAGACGCCTAAGACCAGAAAGTCCATGTAGAGCTTGGCGTCCTCCACGTCCAGTGCTCGTAGGATGCTCTGTGGCTCCCGGAAGGGGCAGCGTTCCTCTAAGCACGTCAGGTCCCCTCGCTCCATGCCATAGATGGTCAGGATCACACCCTCGAAGCCATACCTAAGAGGGCAGGGCCATCAGAGCAGGACGCAGAGCAGAGGGTGCCCGCTGCCTGGGAAGATGTCCCGCCCAACCACAGGGCTCCCATCCTGGGGGCAGCTAGGGGGCTCTGCCCAAAGGGTGGTGGGGCAGGTGCACAGCCCAGGAAGATCCGGGCATGGCCTCCTGCAGGGAGGAGCTAAGGCAGAGGGGCGGGACAGACGCACCTGACATAGGAGAGGTAGGAGCTCCATTGCAGGTAAGTGGGGATGGTCTTGAAGCTGACAAAGAAGCCAGAAAACAAGAGGACAGGGATGGCGGTGACTGGGCCCACAAAGGTGGCAACCTGGAAGGGAGAGAGGCCAGCCCGCCACAGGGTGGCCAGGAAAGACTCAGGACTAGGGTGGCCCCAGGGTTCCCCACAGGTTCATCTCACCTATTTTTTGCCAACCCCTGCTTCTGCCCAGGAGACCCCCTTGGGAATCCCCACCTGCCAGCCCTCCCACCTGCAGAGAGTTGGAGGCAGCTCCGATCAGCAGTCCCAGGGACTGGGCCACCAAGGCTGTGGCTGTGGCCAGGGCAGAGAAGAGCAGGAAGCGACTGGTCTCAGCTGGCTGGCCCGTCATCCAGTACACGATGCTGCAGTACACCACGGGGCACACCACCTGGGGAGTGGGCATGAGGCTGGGCAGCAGATGAAGGGCAGGGCCATGGTGGCCAAGACTCCCCACTCCATCCCGCCTCCTGTCCCACAGTACCCTATGCCTGGCCTCCACACTCTTGTTCACACTGTCCCCACAGACTGACACATCTCCTTTCTCCCTGACTATATGACCTCCTTCATCTTCCTGTCCGGCCTTTTCCATTAGGCCCACTCTGACGTGATTCAGGCATGGTGGCTTCTCCCTCCTCTGAGCCACTGAAGTCCTTCCCAGTGGAACCAGCTTATCCCTCATATTAGCAGTTAATTAACTCTGCTTTTGTTTTTGTTTTTGTTTTTTGAGAGTTTTTTTGCTATAGGGTGTGTGTGCTCGCAAGAAAGACAGAGAGAGACAGAGAGACAGAAAGCCAAAAATCACCCCTCAGGGGCTGGCCACGCCACAATCCCTGCTCCTCCCTTCTCATCTCAGAATCTTGGGCACACATGCACACGTGCCCAGCGTGAATTTAAATCACCAGGTCAGGACTCGAACTGCGGTCGGCTACATGGGAGTCCAGCGACATAGCCATTACGCCATCTGCTGACCCCAGTAGTTAATAACTCTCTATAGAAGAGTCTATTTCCCTGGGACCGGCAGGTGGCGTGGTGGTTAAGGTGCTGAACACTCCCACATGGCTGACCAGGGTTCAAGTCCTGAATCTGGTGGCTTGCTTTCTCACTTCCTCTCTCACTCTCACCCTCTGTCTCTCTCTGGTCAAATTAAAAAAAAAAAGAATAAATAAAATAAATAATTATTTTTTAAAAAGAAGAAGAGTCTATTTCCCCATGGGACTACCAGCTCCTGGGGCAGGGACTGAGTACAAGGGTGCCCAACCAAGAGGTACCCAGAGGCCAAGACCTAGCTCACACTCTTCCCATGACAGCATGCACCCCAGACAGTGTGGTAAACACCCTGAAGAAGAGGCTCCTGTTTCTTTTCCTGAAAAAGAGATTTTTGCTATAGGGCGTGTGCACTCACTAGAGAGACTGAAAGATAGAAAGCAAGAAATCACCTCCCCAGGGGATGGCCATGCCGCAACCCCTTGTCCTCCTTTCTCCCAGGATTTGGGGCATGCGCCTGGCATGAGTTTTAAGCTGCTAGATTCAGGACTCGAACCGCAGTTGACTATGTGGGAGTCCAGTGATGTAACCATTAGACCGTCTGTTGGTCTCGGGGGCTCCCATTTCTAATTGCCCGAAGGTGCCCTGAGGTGGAAATGGGGTGGTGGTGACAACAGCATAGTGGTTGGGCACTTAGCACAGACCACGCCCTACTTTAAGGACTGTCCCTGGATTAACTCATTTCCTTCTCACAAGCAATGCCACAGCAGATGCCAGCGCCATCCCATTTCATAGGTGGGGACACTGAGGCAGAGAGAGGTTGGGCGACTCATCAGAGCCTCGCAGCTAGCACGGGGCAGTGAGGCGGCAGGGCCTACACTCTGCCTGAGTGCCGCTAGTAAGACTGACGGAGTCATCTGGAGGTTGTCATTGTCATCATCTTGTGCTGTCAGTTGTTCCCGCTGGAGCACAAGTTCCACAAGGTCATGACCGCATCAGTTCGTGGCCGTATCCCTGGCGCCTCGTGTGGGGCCTGGTGTGTGGTGGAATCTTATCTCCTATTTGCTAAATGAGTAGAAGGCACAAGAAGAGGGCCAATGACGAGGTCGATGGAGGCGAGCAAGCACAGAACGGGAGGAGCGAGGTGAGATGGAGGCCACAGGCAGGCGTGGGCAGAGGCTCACCTGGAAGGGCACGTCGGCCATGGTCTTGGCCAGGTAGTACGCTTTGAGGCTGTACCAGTAGTTGAGGTGCTCCCTCATGAAGACTGCCATCTCTAAGGGGACTGATGACGCCATGCAGGGAGATTAGGCACACCCTGCCCCCTCCCCATGGCCCAGGCTCCCGCCCCCCACGATCCAGGCAGCTCAGCTCACAGGTGAGCACGGTGGGCATGAGTGCAGCGAACATGAGGAACAGCATGGAGAAGAAGAGGCAGCCGGTGTTGTTGAAGACCTTGCTGGCATCGTCGCCGATGTGCAGGTAGAGGAGACCAATGAGCACGCCGATCACCACGTGGGATGTGAACCGCAGGTGGGTCAGGACCTGGGCGGAGGTGTGTGTGTGTGTCATCACCAGGAGAGGGGCAGGTCACAGGGCAGCCATACTGGGGGAGGAACTAATCTGCCCTCCCGGGACTCAGCCCTGCAGGAACTCAGGGGCTGTCGGGGTCCTCACTGCCATCCCAGTGGTTGGGCTCCCACAGCCCCAAAGGGCAGGCCTAGCTTGGCGCCTCACCGTGTCCCTGAGGATGGACAAGAAGGTCCTCTTGAAGAGGATGCAGAACTGTGTGAGGGTGCTGGTGGCGAAGGTGTGGCTCTCAATGGTGTCCACGTCCTGGGAGGGGCAAAATGGACAAGTGAGCTGACTCTGCCCACCACCCACCCAGTTCAGGGAGCCCGTCCTCAGGGGAGAGGTTCCCTGGTCTAGGGAGGGTCCTCCACACGGAGTTGTGAACCTGGAGGCCGGGCAGGGACGACTCAAAGCAAGACACGCGGGGCGTGGGGGGCACTTAGTGGGGGAAGAGATGAAAAAGGAGTTAAGGACGTTCATGGTCGCTAATAGCAGATCAGTCACTTCCTTTTTTTTTTAATTTGCCAGAGGGTGCATGTACTTGCCAGGTGTGGGTAGAGGTTTGGGGAGAGGGAGAAAGCAACAGCCTGCAGGACTTGGTCACACCACAACCCCCTCTTCTCATTCCTTCATCCTGTCGGATTCAGGCATGCATACACATGAGGCCCAGGGTATTTTTCAAGCTTCTGAGGCCACGATTCAAACTGTGCAGTTGGCAGCCACGTGGAACCCCACTGCCTTAACACCAGGCCACGGAGCCGGCCCTGATCAGTCGCTTAATCCATTAGAAAACATGAACCCTCAGGGCATAATTCCTCTATGCCATCCATTTCACAATAGTATTATTTAATAATGATAATAATGACAATAACTAACTCTTCCACCTTTTTCTTTTTCTTTTTTTTTAATTCAGTTTTTGCTATAGAATGCCATGAGAGACAGAGAGACAGAAAGTGAGAACTATCCCCCCGGGAAAATGGCCATCCTGCAATCCCTTCTCCTCCATTCTTCTCTAGTGACTTTGGGCACACACACTCAAGTGTGCCCAGCATGAATTTCTTTCTTTTTTTTTTTTTTTTTTTTTTTTTTTTTTTTTGGAGAGGTTTTTGCTAAAGGGCATGTGCAGTTGCCAGAAAGACAGAGACAGAAACAGAAAGACAGAAAGTGAGAAATCACCTCCTGGGAGGGATGGCCACACCGCATCCCTTCTCCTCCATTCTCTTCTTGGGATCTTGGGCACGCACACACACGTGCCCAGCATGAGTTTAAGCCACCAGGTCTGGGACTCAAACCGTGGTCAACTACAGGGGAGTCCAGAGACATAGCCATTACGCCAACCGCTGGTCCCGCACCATAAATTTCTAGAACTTGAACCATATAGTTGGCCAGGCTGGATCCAGCACCTTAACCTCCAGCCACCAGCTGGCCCACCTTTCCAGTCTTTGAGGGCTATAATATCTCGTTTAAGGAAGAGAAGCGGCTCCAGAGGAAAACCTGCCGTATGGGCTACAGAGCAGTTTTTTTTTTTTTTTTTTTTTTTTTTTTTTTTTTTAGGGAGATTTTTGCTATAGGGTACGTGCACTCACTGGAGAGACAGAGAGGCAGAAAGTAAGAAATCGCCCCCACAGGGGCATGGCCAATGCAGTCCCTTCTCCTCCATTCTCCTCTCAGGATTTTGGGCACGCATGCACACACATCTGGCGTGAGTTTTAAGCTGCCAGGTCCAGGCCTCAAACTACGATCGACTATGTGGGAGTCCAGTGACATAATCATTACACCATCTGCTGGTCCCAACAGTTCTAAGAGCTTTACATGATGATCTCACGCATACGTATGCACAGGAACCTGTGAGGGAAGTATTATCACCTCCAAGCCGAGGTCACAGTAAGCACCCTGGCCAGCCAGGCTGGTGGTGTCGACTCGCACACTAGACGTGCACTGGCTCAGCACTTGCCGAGCCATGGGTGCTCGGGAAGAACCTGCTGAGTGTGCAAGGACACCGAAGTGCACAGAGGCTAAGCCACAGGCCTAAGGTCACACAGCTCCTAGCAGCAGGTCCAGGACTGGCTCTGTTGCAGTGGTTAAATGCTGTACTGAGAGCTGGCTCCCACAGCACTGACCGGGCCCTGCGGCTCAAAAAACACACCAGGCACATGTGTGTACCTGTCCAAAATCTTGGTGGGAAGGAAAAATGGAGGAAAGGGATTATGGTGTAGCCTCACTCTGTCGGGGGTGCTTTCCCTCTCCTCTCTTGCTCTCTCTGGTCAGACGTGTGCCCAAAATGAAGGGAAAGGAAGGGACAAGAAAGAAAGGGAAGGGAAGGGAAGGGAAGGGAAGGGAAGGGAAGGAAAGAGAAGGGTGGGGAGGAGAGGGGTGAGGAGAGGGATGGGGAGGGGAGGGAAGACACAAGTCTTCCAAGTCCTGGTTCCTCCTAATTCTCAGTGGTGATGATATCTCTGGGGACAGTCTCTTTGGCAGGCCTTTATCCATGGTCCAGTCTTCCCTCCCCCACTCTGCCCTCTGCATTCACCACCTCTACTCACCGGAGGACAAGGGGGGCAGGGAGAAGGGACCTCGTTCTTCTCAGGGCTGCTCTTCTTCTCAGCCATGGCACAGAGCCCGTTCTGCACAGCCCTGAACAGCATAGGGTTCAGGTCTCCGTACTCGCCGGAGGCCACCTCGATGACTAGGGGACAGAGTGGAGCGTTCAGCTGGGACTCACCTTGCAGAAGACAGTGAGAGCTTTGCCCCAGAAGGCCTGAGTGCCTAGCCCAAGCCGCCGGTCAGACCCACTGCTGTACCCCAGGCTCCATCACCAGACCCCACTCACTGAAGTCGGCTGGGTTGTGGTACGTGGGGCAGTGCAGGCCAAGCCCCTTCAGGTAGGGGATGAGGTTGGTGACCACGCCTTTGAAGATGCACTGACCCTGGCTCAGGATGTAGAGCTGCGCAGAAAGAGAAGGGTGAGGACGGCACAGCCAGCAGGCAGGGCCCCCTCTGCCCCTCCAGGCCAACCTTCTCTGAGGCCCGGAGACACCCACCTTATCAAACATCTCGAAGAGCTTGGCACTGGGCTGGTGGATGGTGCAGATGACGGTGCGGCCCCCGTGGGCCAGGGACTTCATGAGGGACACCACTTGGAAACAAGAGGCACTGTCCAGACCACTGTCCAGAGAGAGGCCACCAGGAGGCCCAGTGAGGTGGGCAGGACCAAGAGAAGGGAGAGGCTGGGGTGGGGTAGCTGCTGCAAAGAGGGCGGAGCTGGTGGCAAGTGGCTGCCCTGGTCACCCTCACATCCTGTGCTTATAGTACGTGAGGTAGAAGGGGCACGTGGGGTGGAGGGCAGCGTTCCAGCAGAGACATGGTGTGGGCGGAGCTGAGAGGCATGGGAGTTACCAGCCACTCAGTGTTATCAGAGCATAAAATAGAGGACAGGAGGCTGGAGCGGTCGCTTTGGACCAGGACCTTGTAAGTCACTGGACTTTTCTGAGGACAATGGGAACCATCGCAGGTTTCTGAGCAGGGCAGTGGGTAGACTTGTCTTTTAGGAAATTTTCTCTGGGGGCAGGTGGTGGCATGGTGGTTAAAGAGCTGGGTCCCATCATGGCCAACTGTGCTGTTCAAATCTTGGATCTTGCAGCTTGAAAAACACACTGTATGTGTGCCCAAAATCCCCAAAGGAGAAACAGAGAAGGGACTGTGGCATGATCATCCGTCATGAGGAGTGTATTCCCATTTTTCCTTCCCTCCCCCTCCCTTTGTCTCTGTCTCTCTCCAGTGAGTGCACATGTGCTCTAGCAAATTAAAAAGAAAGGAAGGGAGAGGAGGAGGGAAGGAAGGAAGGAGGAAGGAAGGAGGGAAAGTCGTTCACTCTGGCTGCGGTTTGGAGGAAGGCTGGCTCGGAGAGGCTGGAGGTGAGGAACAGAAAGCCTATTGGTGAGGTCATGAACTAAACACTGGCACTAGGGGCGGGCAGGGCCAATCTGAGAGATACCGTGAGAAGTAGGGTCAACAAGACTGGATGACTAAGACTGTGGAGGCCAGGAGGAGGGGGAATCATCCAGGGGCCAGCAGATGGCAGAGTGGTTAAAGTGCTGAACTCCCACATGACTGAACGTGGATCAAGTCCCGGACCTCGTGGCTTGAAACTCATGACAGGTGTGTGTGTGTGTGTGTGTTTGTGTGTGTGTGTGCCCAAAATCCTGAGACAAGAATA